GAACTGTGTTGGCTTTTTTGGCAGCTGCTGCACCCGGCTGGCTCATATTTAAATGGTTGTCCACTAGGACTCCAAGATCCCTCTCACAGTTACTACTATTAAGCAAGGTACCACCTATATTGTACCTGTGCATTTCATTTTTCTTGCCTAAATGTAGAGCCTTACTCTTTTCACCACTGAATTTCATTTTATTAGATAGCGCCCAATGTTCAAGTTTGTCAAGATTCAACATATATCCCTAAATCAAAGATAGGCAGCTTTTTGCATAATAGCAAAGGATACAAATATGCAGTCTCATACAGTGCGTTGGACACTTTTACATTAAATTGAAAAGAGAAAAAAAAAACCTTCCATCATCAAACCCCAAAAGGTTTCAGCAGTCTTATGACTGGAATCTCATTGAATAACTGAAATCATACAAGACTTGATTTTATTGATGTGTGTGTTTCTAAAATGTGTTAGCTTAACATATCGTATCCAAGAGTCATAATGCCAGACTTCAATAGTTAGCTTGATTTCCCATTTTTCTCAAACCTTCTTTGAGTGTTAACACCACTTTATAATGCCTTGGTAAGGCCACACTTGGAATACTGCATACAGTTTTGGTTGCTATAATGTAAAAAAGATATTGAGACTCTAGAAAGAGTGCAAAGAGTAACAAAAAGATGATTAGGGGAAACTAAAATATCTAAAGAACGGTTGCAGGAACTGGGTATGTCTAGTTTAATGAAAAGAAGGAAAGGAGGTGACATGATAGCAGTGTTCTAATATCTCAGGGGCTGCGACAGAGAAGAGAGAGTCGAGCTATTCTCTAAAGTACCTGAAGGCAGAACAAGAAGCAATGGGTGGAAACTAATCAAGGAGAGAAGCAACTTAGAACTAAGGAGAAATTTCCTGACAATTGGAACAATTAATCAGGGGAACAACTTGCCTCCAGAAGTTGTGAATATTCCAACACTGGAAGTTTTCAAGAAGACAATTGTTGGACAACCATTTGTCTGAAATGGTAGAGGGTTTCCTGCCTAAGCAGGGGGTTAGACTAGAAGACCTCTAAGGTCCCTTCCAACTCTGCTATTCTGTTTTATTACATCCCATATTTCATAATTCAGATCGCATGAAGACACCTTATAGATGCCATCATCAGTTATAAATATAAACACAACACAGTAAATAACCCTGTATGCATTTAAAAAGAAAAGCACTTAAATCAGGGAGACCTTTTAGGAAGAAAACAATATTAGCCTAAGCTGGTGCAAAATTGGAAGGAGCACTTTTTCCAACTAACATATTTTATTAAAAGACCTAAGCTTTTGTGGGCAGCTCAGAAGAGCCTATGGATTTTAATAAGATTTTTTAGTCAGATGCTATTCCTTCTCATTTTAAATCAGGTGAAATGATTATGAGCTTCATTCTGTGTGCAGGTAGTTCTTGTCTTACAACCATTTGTTTAGTGACTGTTCAAAGTTACAATGGCACTAAAAAAAGTAACACTGTTACAACCTTTGCAGCATTCCTATGATCAAGTAATCAAAATTCAGATGATTGGCAACTGGGTCATATTTATGACGGTTGCAGAGTCTCAAGGTCATGTGATCAACTTTTGCAACCCTCTGTCAAATTAAAGTTAATGGGGAAGCCAGATTCATTTAACAACCAGGCTATTGACGTATCAACTGCAGTGATTCACTTAACAACTGGGGCAAAAGAGGTCATAATATGGAGCAAAACAAATTCCCACTTAACAACAGAAATTTTGGCTCAATTGTGGTCATACGTCGAGGACTACTTGTACTCTGTTTTGGCATGAAGCTACTGTAGTTTCTAAGCCCAACATATGCAGAAAGCATTCAGTTTCTTGATTTTAAAGGAATGCACCATGCCTCCACTCCACATAGCATTTGGCATATGGCTGGATCAGGTAAATTGGGGGCTTCAGTAAAAAAAATGATTACCCTTCCTTTTAAATAACCAAACTTGGTTCCAATCAGTTATACTTTTTTTTAAAATTATTAGGAGGGACAGTAATTATGTCTTCTTATTTTAATATAATGGAAGTTAATGTTATATGGAATATTTAGATGTGAGAGTTTTCAGGGGAGCTTGTTCCCAAAGGGTGTCTGTTGGATTCAGTAAGATTCCTGTTCCTAGAATTGCTGTCCCCAACTACATAAGAAATATCACAAACATCCTAAGATGATAGAACTCCATAAGAAATCTCCCTGACAACTCCATTCTATCTACCATGTATTGCCACTGGCAATAACCTGTATTTGTTATTTATTAAGAGCCATGGTGGCACAGTGTTTAGAATGTAGTACTGTAGGCTACTTCTGCTGCCTGCTGGCTGTCTGCAATTTAGCAGTTCGATTCTTGCCGGCTCAAGATTGACTCAGACTTCCATCTTCCAAGGTCGGTAAAAGGAGGACCCAGATTGTTGGGAGCAATATGCTGACTTTGTAAACCACTTAGAGAGGTCTGTAAAGCATTGTGAAGTGGTATATAAGTATAAATTGCTATTTTCAAATCAGTGGCACAGCCATGAACACACATGGCTCCTAAATATGCAGACATCTTTATGGCTGTCTTAAAATACAATTTTCTCAACTCCCATTCATGAAGCCCCTCCTTTATTTGAGATTAATTGATGAGATAGCATTATATGAATCCATGGAAATCAATTTGGCGTAACATACTATTATGATTTCAACAGCTTGGTTAGACATTCCTATATGACTAGACAGTGACTATGTTATGACACACTTTTGACAGTGGGTGATTTGGAGAATGTACTAGCAATAAAATAAAGGAAATCTTGGAGGTGATGTCATGCACAGATTACATCAGATGCAGGCACCCGTTCCTATCTCTTTCTCACTGAAGATATAGATAATCCTCAGTTTATGATCCTGATGAAGCCTGCTCATTGTGGTCATAATTGACCAACCTGATTTTACAACTTTTTTTGAGACAAGTGATAAGCGAATGCAGCAGTTGCTGAGCAAACCAGTTGTTAGTAAGGACTGGTTCCGTTGAAAATGAGTAACTGCCAGTTTTTGACAAAAACATAACATGCTGTCGTGTGACTGCGGGATGCTGCAAACAATCACAAATGCAGATCAGTTGTCGAGTATCCCAAATGTGGTCATGTGACTGTGGGTGAGTGCCTGTTGGAATTTCAGAACTGGGCCGTAATTATCCCTGGAAAACTCCATCACTAAGCATTGTAAGGTTGTTAAGTCGAGAACTACATATAAACATTGCAAAAACTGACTTAAAAGTGCTGTAACTGTTTTACCAATAGTCAGCCAGGCAGAAAAATAACTGACATTTAAATTATAACAAAACTATGAACAATGATGGCTGTACTTCTTTTCTCTCCTCCTGGCAGCATGTAAGCGGTCAAGCAAGGCCACCTGTTATCTGGATGAGCTACGCCTGGCGGTAGCCTGGAATCGGGTGGACATTGCCAGCACAGAATTGTTCCGTGGGGACATTCTCTGGGAGGTGGGTTGCAAGCATGAAATGCTCTTACTTTTAGTACTGGTTCGGAACTGGGAGTGTGTGTGTCTGTGTGTGTGCTGGCTTTGCTCGCTTCTACGTATGCCCAGAACACTGCACATGTGCAGAGCATCTGTGATGACATCTGGGCAGGTGGGCAGAGCCTTCCGCCACCATCACTACCAGTTTGCCCAAATCGGAGCAAACCGGCATAATAGCACCTCTGGTGGGTTGGCAGACTTGTTTTAGTTTTTAATCCTTTACTGGAACATACCCATCTCCCCCCATACCCCTCATTACTGGAACATACCTCTTCCCCTCTGTGGAATAGAGAAAAATAGCCTTGAATTAGGTTGTTTTGAGTACATAAAGAACCTTTCCTATGTTGTGCCTTTAGTGGACTCTGGTTTTCATAACTTCAAAGTGGCATATGGGTTGAGCGGATGCTTATGGGGATCATTTGATTGTGGAAGGTTGGCTGGAGGTGTGCATAGCATGTGCCAATGTACACCAGACATGCTCAGAAATATTGTTTAGCACTCATAAATAATTGGTACCCCAGTTTTAAACAAAATTCCCTATACTTTTAGAAAATCAAGATGAGCCTGGTAGCACTTTCCTAAATTCCCATTAAAAAAAAAGATACAAAGTTTTCATCAGTTGGTAGTATATAGCTCACAAAAATATGTGCCTTTTAATAAAATCTATAGTCTGGATGGAGTCACAGAAACAGTAAGTGTGAGCTTAAATGGACTCCAGTGGATGGTAGGGGACAGGAGGGCCCGGAGGAACGTTGTCTATGGGGTCACGATGGGTCGGACACGACTTTGCAATTAACAACAACAACATGAATCTGGAAAACTGCTACTAGGCTCCTCCTGATTTGGGAGGAGGCTCTTCTCCCACAATGTCCATATTTGGCTTTCCTCCCACAATGTCCATATTTGCAAGATAATATTTTTTGTAAGTACAGTGATGCCATTCAATTATTTTAGATTTCAGACATAATGTTTTCTTCCTTCAATAAATTCTGAGATTTGGTAAGCCACTGTTGTTGCATTTGGAAATCTCTGCCCATTTTATGTATCCTTGGATTCTTTCCCTTATGCTGGGGTGAAGAGGCTATATTAACTAACAAGGAAGAAGGAAATGAGTTGAACATTAGCCACAAATTATTTGGGAAGAAGCAGAATATGGAGAGAATAGGGAATGCAAGGTGAATCCTTTATTTGAGAGGCAGAATATGGCCGTTGTTCAGCCCAAAACCTTTCCAGAATGGCTAAAGTGTGATGATTGCTCTGTCAAAAGTCTTACTGACTTTGAGAATGACACATTGCCAAGGATCATCAGGGCTGCATCAACAAATGTTGCTGGCTAAAGTGAAGGATGGAATGGTACCCAGAAACAGAACTGTCTGAACTTATCTCAGTCCTGGTGATGGAATAATGTCTTCCAGCATAGCTGAAGGAACAGTCTATTAAGTGCTGTGTGAAAAGACTGCTCTCTGATAGAAGAGAGCAGTCATGGATTCATGAAAGAATAACTTGTTCTCCTCATAACCCTGCAAATTGTTGTTATCACACTTTAGCTAATGGAGTACCCACTTTGATCTCTAAGTAGCTGCAAACATCTACTCCCTTGGGACGTAAATATTTTATTCTTATTCTTCCTCTATCATTTCTTGCAGCCCAGCCTGCTGGAGAACCCAATGCGTGATGCATTGCTAGGTAATCGAACTGACTTAGTGCGCCTCTTTGTGGAGAATGGCTTGGATGTAGGACAGTTCCTGACATGGGGAAAGCTGGAACAGCTGTATGCTGGGTCCCCCAAGGTCTCGCTGCTGCGCCAGCTTTTGGAGCGATGCCAAGGGACAGGCTCTGAGCCATCCTCCCCTCCCGAAGACGTGCTGCTGGAACGATCTTTGCCCGATTGCCATTTATCTCATGTGGCTCTTATTCTGCACGAGCTACTAGGGGATGTCTGTGCTCCTTTTTATGCAGGACTATACCCTATTGGCCACAGAGGGATAGGGGTAAGTAATAATATTACTTACACCAAGGCACTCTAGTCGTTAAGATAAGAAATCTTTCCAGTTTCCATTTCCTCCCTATAACATTCTTCTTATAAGCAAAAGGATGAGAATTCTCCTAAAAGGACTGGCTGAATTGGAGAGGCATTGAACCCTTTGAACTTAAATGACATGCTTTGCTTCAAAAATCACTTATGATGCTGCATTATTTTTCCAAAATAATTATTGATTTTAAAATTGAAAAATAGATCTATTTTATCATTTTACATTTAATAATAGTAGAAGTTCAAGGCTGTATAATTCACAATGCTTTAAAAATAGTTTCCAGTTTCATCGTGAGGAAATGTTTTGAAAAAAAACAGGCAATGTTTTAAAAACAGCTTTAGTGCCTGAAGGGTTTGGAACATATTAAATTTACACCCCCCCCCCCCAAAAAAAATCTCTGTGGATTTCTGATGTTGCTAAGGGTAAAGTTTGGGTTAAGTTTTTGTTTCAATTTTGATAATGAATTTTGATTAATGTATGAAACCAACCCAAGACAAGAATGTGTGTCTGTGGATGTTTTCTTTCTCATGTTGATCAAGATGTCTTCTCTGCCTAGAAAAAAGGATTATTAGCGAATGGAGATTCCTCCTACCAAAATGAACGGTCACCAAACCCATGGACTGACCTATTTATCTGGGCAGTGTTGCTGAATCGAAAAGAGATGGCAATTTACTTCTGGGAAATGGTCTGTATTTTGATATGAATCTATCAATAGTATTTAGCAATGTCTCTTACAGAATATCGTAGAAATATTATGTCGCAAATGCATAGAAAGGAGTGGTGAAATTCAATTTTTTTTACTACCGGTTCTGTAGGTGTGGCTTGGTGGGCGTGGCAGGGGAAGGATATTGCAAAATCTCCAACTCCAGTGAGAAGGATATTGCAAAATCCCCATTCCCCCCGCCCACTCTGGGGGAAGGATATTGCAAAATCTCCAACTCCAGTGAGAAGGATATTGCAAAATCCCCATTCCCCCCGCCCACTCTGGGGGAAGGATATTGCAAAATCTCCAACTCCAGTGAGAAGGATATTGCAAAATCCCCATTCCCCCCGCCCACTCTGGGGCCAGCCAGAGGTAATATTTGCCTGTTCTCCAAACTCCTCAAAATTTCCACTACCAGTTCTCCAAAACCTGTCAGAACTTGCTGGATTTCACTCCTGATAGAAAGGATGATATAACTGCTATGAATTCCTCTGCCACCACAGAACCTGATTGAAACTTGATGGCTTGCTGAGCCATCAAGAATGTGATTTCTTGTCTAAATAATCACATCAGTGCTTTCCTTCCAATTTAAATTCAAAAAAAGTTAAACAAAATAATTGGTGGGCTTTCTTTAATAGAAGGTAGGGTGTGATTAGGAATGTAGGCAGATATTGTGGAAATCATGGTTGTTTAACTGTCCAATTACTTGATTAACAGACACTGTGACCTGTCCATGCCTGTGACCTGTCAATCAGTCTATTTCTGAACATGAGTTTAGCGCTCTTTTGAAAGAGCGCTAAACTCATATTTAAATAGAAGGCTGTCTGGCAGGTTGCATATATGGAGAAAGAGCAAGAGATGAAGCAACAGGAAGCTCTTACCGTCTATCTGGTAAAGTTCTTTTCATCATCATAAATGCCCTTGTGACTTGTGAGCTTGGTAAGGGTAAAGCAAAAGGGCCAATCAATATCAAACATGTTATTTCCTTAATTAATGTTGTAAAGAAATAGCAATGCATTGCAACAGCAAATGATAACACCAAAAGCAGCCATAGAGTAGGTAAAATAACATGACAATCCTTTCCTAAAGTGATAAAAATAGTGACTACTATGACTGCATGGAAATCCTTTGTCAACAGAAGCAGAAGAAAATCTGTTTACACACTTACTGATTTGCTGGTCTCCACTGTAATAAAAATTCATTGAACACATTTATTGGTGGCAACAGCTTGTAGCTAGCAGAACCCAACTCCTACTTCAATTTAAGTTGACTTTCTTGAGCAGTGCAAGACTACTGCTCACAGGTCTAGTGCTCTTTCAAAAAACACAAAACCCAACTCGACATTTTCAGTTCTGAAGCTTCTTAAAGGAGAAGTGAAAAATTTTCAGGGAAAATCAAGAAAGTCCATTTGCCTTTTGGAAAAACAGCCTTGGGACAACCATGACCTGGATGATTGAGAATCTTCATAGACACTAAACCCATGTATAAAGAGCCTACGCTTTTATATATGCGTATATAAAGACCACACAGGCATTTTGAAAGGCATCAGGCAAACATTAGGGGCAAAATCCACCATGAAACCTAGGTTTTTCTTTTCTCTAGTAGCTAAAAAACAATTCACCCTGGAGAATAGCACCCAATGGCTAGAGGAGAAGGTCACTCTAGGAGTCAATAAGAGCAGAGGTGATCCTAACTAACCCTTGGCCACATCATCAACTACATTGCTGATGAAGCATCCTAGATAACACCCATGGCAAAAGCCATATCACAGGAGAAGAGGGAAAGTGCTACAATAAAAGTGGAATAACTTTAAGACAACTTTAAACTGCTTCTGTTGTAGGCTAGGGATGAGACAAAATCAATGTCATTGGGACATCCATTTAAAAACCTCCCAAATTGGCTAATGAGTCATGTGGATGCTGTGACTAGAAGGAAATAGGGATGGCAGTCATTCATCCCATGCTATATTTCCTTTTTTGGGGCGAGCAAAAACAAGGAAACAACGCCACCCACAATTGTCATAGTGCTGGTGGAATAATAATGGATTGGGGTGAAATGACTGGCAATGGATGGTAATGGATAGTGATGAAACACCTGGGCTACAGAAGGGAGAGAGTTGAATCCAGAAGCCATAAAAAAAAAAAAATATTTCCAACAGTGGGAAACTCCCTACCCTACAGCTCCAGAATAATTGTTGCCAAATTTCTTCCCTTGTCAAAGCTCATCCAAGCCTTTAGTATTGTGGAATCATAGAAACACATTGCCAGATCCAAATTAGCATGGCACTGATGTGTAGATGAGTGAAACCAATTCAGGAAAATATTCCTATTTACAGTATCTCCCTCCCTCTGACTCGCTCTGACTCTCTCTCTCTCTCTCTCTCTCTTTTTAAAAAGAGTTTCTGTAGCTCCATCAACAAGTAGTAGTCAGAGGGTGGGAGAGTAAGTGAAATCCAGGAATAGTACAGAGGAAAAGAGAAAAAGCTAGTGAATTAATTTGGCTGCTCTTACCTTTAAAAATGTGTCTGCTATGATTCTATGGGTCTCATCTAGTTGCTGTCTTGGGAACAAAGTGGATGGGATAAGGGAGAAAGCAGAAGAATATGCTTAGAATGAAAGTCAAGAAGTTATTTTCTATGCAAATGTTGTCTATGCTTCTTAACAGAAACATTGCACAGAAGGATGTATGAGGTTTTTCAGTAGTGATAATTTTCCAAACTGAAATTGGAACTGCTCAAAAAGCAAGTGCAAATAAAATAAAAACAACAGAGTTCTGTTGCTGGTGTATTTGCTTCATTATTTTTACCCAGTTTCCTGTCTGCAATTATAGGTAAACTCGAATAATCATTTTTTCCCTCAGCATTTATTGCAGTTTATTTTACAGACATAAAAGTTCCTGAAGGAAGAAAAGATTGGGGGGCAAGTTCCTCCATCTGTTTCTTTGATACTTAAACAATTCTTTAGTCAGTTTCATAATTAGATGAAGCCTAATATCACTCAATTTCTAAAATCTTGGTCAGTTTCATGGTGTTTATTATATTTTTTGATTTTTTTTCTTTGTTTCTACAAGTAGCTACTGTTAATTTTTTCTAAAAAATATTTGACAGTGTTTCACAGTGGAGGGATGTCACAATTGCTCAAAACACTTTTTGTAAACATAGTTGGAAAAATAAATATGGGGCAAGAAGATATGTTGGAACATATGCCATTTGTTTTGTGTCAAAGGAGATATCACAATGATGGGTTACAAACCCATGCAAATCTTCCAACTTATCGAGGCATTTTCTTTTTCTTTCAACCTAAGGCACCTGATGCAGTGGCTGGGGCATTGGCGGCAGCAAAAATACTGCGGGAACTTTCACATCTAGAGACAGAGACAGAGGAAGTGGCAGCCCTGAAGGATTTAGCAATGCACTTTGAAAACTTGGCCATAGGTGAGAAGTGGGAAAAGAGATAATGGGAGAAAGGACTGCTCAGGGGGTAGGGGATGATTTGTGACATAACTGAAACTTAGTAACTTTAGGTTGTTTAGACTTCAACTTCAAAAATTCAGTTGAATTCCGTATACCTTAAAATTTCTGATGTTGACAAATGCTGGTCTAGACCAACAGTCTAGATATACTGATCTAGTGAACCCATAATGACAACAGGCATATGAGAATTGACTTCCAAGCCATCCAAAGGATGCAATAGGATGGAATCTGTTGGTGGAAGAGATTATTGGCATAATACAACATGCACTTCTTCATACAGGGGAATATAGGAAGAGGAAAGAGTTATAATAGAGTAGGGAAAAAGTAGGTTGTAACGCTCATGAAATAAAATACTTTATGGAGAAACCCAGCGATAGGTTCCCAGGTTTTCCTGAAAATTGAAAATTGTACAGTTTGGCATTTAGATGAAATAGATTTTAAATCCCTAATTACTCAAAAATAGATTTTCTCGTAGGTTTCAGATGATTAATTTTTGCATTGACAGTCTCCACTAATTTTTAAAATTGATGTACATGGACAAATTTTGGAATTGGTGAGAACAGAGAAAAGTATTTTTCACACTTCAGGTTTCTTTTTTAGTCCACCAATAAAAGGCCCTATTTTCTGACCGGTGGAATGATGTCAAAGCTGCTCCATCTCAAATCCAGTGTTTCTTAGTCCCCTATCATGTATATTGCAACAAAAAAAAACACCTTTTGCAATATATTATATAGGCATCCTAACAAATGCAATTTCTTACCATAACCTCTCACATTCCAACTTAGTTTTAGCGATTCATTTTTTTTAGAAAAGAGGGACAGTTTCGCATTTTTACAACTGATTCATTTCTTTACTTTCATCACTTGAAAGAATTTGTATGTGAAGGTTTGATGTCATGTTGTCAGTTACTTGGGAAAACTTTAATGAAAAGTTACTCGTAGAAGTTTTTGAATGAGGATTTGGGGTCACATTGTGTACTTGACAATAATTTTTGAGTTTAAGGTAATTTCTATATTACCATGGAGCTGCCATATCCATGGAGTTGCAATATTTATTTTTATAATTATTTTTTCATTGCCTTCATTTCTAAGTTTCTTAGATGATTGCAAGCAAATGTAGACAAATATATAGGAATGTGTGTATTGGAGTACTGTGTGACAATGATTTTCTATCATTTTTGTGAACTGGAAAACTCAAACAGTTCTTATTTGAGAACAAGAACATTTTAGTAAGTACAAAGGACAATTGATTATTGACTTAGGAGCAAGGGGAAAACCTCTGATTTTGATCTTCTCTATGAGCTCTAAACTAGCAAAAGGGTAGATTTTAACAATATGAATATCAGTATGAATATGGGAAAGAGTCAAAGATAGCTCAAAATTATTTCCAATTAATGTGGACATGAATTGCAAAGTCTTAGCGAACTGATGGTTTGGTTTTTTGGAAGGCTTTGAGTGTTGTAGTACCATAATATTAATCTTGCTGTATTATTAACAGTTCCTTAAATTAAGGAGAGTTGTGAATTGTGCAAATGTTTGTAATTCCTTGACTTTTTATACTCAAATAGCTCTCTCCTCCCTCTTAACGCCACAATTCTAGGAGTATTCAGTGAATGTTACCGTAACAGTGAGCCACGGGCCTACAAACTACTGGTGCGCTGTTCCCACCTCTGGGTTGGAGCCACTATCCTCCATCTGGCTCACCAGGCTGATGCCCGTTTCTTTTTTGCACAGGATGGTGTCCAGGTATGACCATACAGATATTCACTAAGCTACTTACTTTCCAAAAGTGCTGGGTGTTTAAGGATGAATATTGTCACAGGATTCCATCTTGTATTTGATCTGCATTTTGTCCCCTTGGAACTCTTAAAGCGTGTGTTCAGAAGGGAATTATGGTCCCCAGAAGTTGGTGAATAAATTAATGGTGCAAAGGGCTTGCAGAGAATCATAGGTTCCTATCCCAAATAACACAATAGTAGGAATGTGTTTATTAGAAATTATCTGCCTGGGATCAAGTTTTCATGGAATAACATTTATATGAGACTACTTCCCATTGATGACTATGAGTTAGGTGCCCTTAGGTTCTGGATGGTTAGATTTATAAACTGCAGGGCACAAGTATTGTTAAGTACTACATGGAATGCTAATAATATTGGGGTGAGGATAGTGAGGATAGTAAGCAAATAAAATCATTATAACCAGAGGTCATATAACAAAGGAATGGCATAAAATAGAATAACATAGCAATAAAGCAATAAATAGTAAAATTATAAAACTCACACACTAAAAATAACAACTTGTGAGGATAAAAAAAAATAGTAAAATTATAAAACTCACACACTAAAAATAACAACTTGTGAGGATAAAAAAAAATAGTAAAATTATAAAACCATACTATATAGATCAATAGAGGGAACTTGGCCTTAGCTTAAAAATGAGAGGAAAATTTGGAAATTGTGGCTAATAGTATTTCCACACACATCATGTTGATATAGATATCTCAGTCGGACCAATATTTTTCCTCCATTTATAGCTGCCCACATACTGAGCTAGCAACAGTCTCTTCCGAATTAAGCATGTTTCCAGATGGCCAAGTGCCTCAAAATCTGAGTCTCAGCAGCTGATTCCAATCTTGGGAAAGCTCTTCGGGAAGATGATTCTTCCAGTGACAAATGATTCCTGGTGGATCCCCACCCTGACTAAACTCTTCTCAGAAATAGATAAAGCATGTGTTGAATTTCCTAACTGGAAACAAAGCATAACATACCCAATCTTTTAAAAGGGCAACTAACAGGAACCTGCTAATTACCACACAATTAATCAGCTAGACATTTATTCTAAGCTCAATGTTAGACTTTTCTAAAACCAGAAGTTTGGGAAGGAGAAATAAAACTTTTTCTTCAGATCAGGCAGGATTTCCAAAAGTACATAGCACGGTAGACCACTGCACTCCTTTGAAGGCTCTTATTCAAAAATATAACAATAGGCATACAAAACACACCTTTGTCAATTTTATTCACCTTATCCCTGCCTTTTGCTCAATTGACAAGCCCTGACTATGGGAGAAACCAACTAGTACAAATATTAATAAGCACCTTCTTAAGCCAATCATTGAATTACATACAGTACTGACATTATGGCTTGTCTCTGTATTTTTCAGCGCTACCTTTCTCTTGTGTTTTTCTAATAGTCCCTGCTTACCCAAAACTGGTGGGGAGAAATGGACCGAAGTACTTCTGTCTGGAAGCTACTTCTCACATTTTTTTGCCCCCCTCTCATCTTTACTGAACTCATTACATTCAGGTGGGTGCTACTGAACATGGTTGATTTACACTTAATAGTGTGGCAGAAAGAAAGGTGTTGCTCATTGCTGGGAGCCTACAATGTAGTTACTGTAGTTATTTAGTAACTGCAATTCCTGAATATCAAATGTACCGAGTATTTCTTTATATAACAAGAGCACAAATAAGTATTAGCTCCAGGGCAACCATTCTCTTTTGAGCGGCCCTTTCAAAACCTGCAATTGACCTGCGGGGGGGGGGGGGGGGATGATTAGTCCACCTGCCAGAACAAATGGAACAAACATATTCAAATCTTAAGTTCTTGTCCCTGGAATTTCTAGCAGTAAATTTAATTTCTAGCATTAACTTTTATGGCTAAATGTAAGCATCTGCATTTAAAATGTGGCCAGGTGGTAATTCTGATCCGTAATGTGATCTTTAATAGGAGCATGGAGGATGATCTGCAGCTGGATTCCTTGGAACAGCTTGAATTGGACAGTCTTGATACAGATGTGAAAAGTACCATCGGAGACATGTTGTCTGAGTAGGGGGAATGGTCATGATCTTGGGAACTTGGGCCTGTGGGAGGGTGGAAGAAATATGGGTTATCATAAATGAAGACTGTTGATGCAGTGGGGCTGATGGGTGGCCTGGATCTCTTCAGGATATTTTTTCCCTATGAATATCCAGCTTTTGCCAAAAAATAATGTAAAACCAGAGAGTGGAAACTCTGGTCCTTGAAATTTAGGTGAACTACAACTTCTAGCCTTCCCCACTGCCTAGGGTTTTTTTTAAAGCACACTTCTTATTTATTTAAACTGCCTCTTTTCAGAACATTTTGAAGTTGCTTACAAACATTTATTCATATGCCAATATATTTTATTTAATGAATTAATTACTCACAGCAATAAGAGTCAATTTATTGGTGGAACTCAAACATTTCTCTCTTCTTTTCCTTTTCATATCTTGACTCAGAAGTTTGGAACCTCCATTCCCTCTTTCTGTTCGACAACTGTGGTTACGACGATGGCATCAATTCTGGGTGGCACCTGTGACAGCATTCCTGAGCAATGTGGTGATGTACTTGCTCTTCCTCTTCCTCTTCTCCTACGTTCTGCTGCTGGATTTTGACCCTCCACCTCCCAAAGGTCCATCTGGAACTGAGATAGTTCTGTACATCTGGGTCTTCACACTAGTCTGTGAAGAGGTGCGTCAAGGATGTTTTGTGGGATCCCAACCTTTGTTGCAGAGAGTACGGAAGTACTTCCTGGACACATGGAACCAGTTTGATATCACGGCCCTGCTACTCTTCATGGTAGGGCTAGTGTGCAGGTAAGTGGTCTTCTGTATTGTAGAGACTGAGCTGATGAGATCAGCGATTAATACCCCTGGAGATAAAAAGGAATGACTTGTACAGTTTAGAATCGGTTTCTTCTTTTTTTTCTTTATACCACTGTCTACATCACAGGCTGTTTCCTTCATCATATGAATCAGGACGCACCATTCTGTGCCTGGATTTCATGATCTTCACACTTCGTCTCATCCACATCTTTGCAGTCAACAAACAGTTGGGGCCCAAGATGATTATCGTTGGCAGGATGGTGAGAAGGTGCACTTTTGATGCACACGGAATAATACACAGAAAGAGGATTGTTGAATACACAGGAGGGCTGTTTGTTTGCTTAAGAATGAACAGACAGTGTCCAACGAAATTTAAGCCAAATGCAAATGAAATAGGGATGCAAAGGCTATTGGATTTAACATAGGAGAGCAAATTGTCTTTCAATATGGCAATTAATTGGCCCACCCCACTTGTGCTGGCAGAAAGACGGTGTTGATCAAGGAATTCTAGATGGCTGGGTCCAGAAGAACCCATTCTGTCATAATTCTTGCCCTTTGGAACATGATGTCCTCCCCCATCCCCGATAGGATCTGCCCTCACCATCTTGGTCTTCCAAAAAGGCTTGAAAACTTGTATCTGAGGGCCATGTGATAATGGAGGTGACACCGCCTTCCTGCCTTCCCGCCTACACCTTGTTCTCTTTCATGCCATCTTTGTTAATTTTTAAGTCAATTTTAATATTAATGTTTATTTATTTTCATGTTTTAATGCATGCATGTCCAAACTTTTGGCTTGCCTGAGCAACATTGAGTGAAGAGGCTTGGGCTGCATACAAAATGTATATATTTTTATTTTTTTATTGTTCTATTATTTTATTTTTGCATTGTTTACATTTCCTTTTTATTTCTTTGTTTTTTATGGTTGTGATCTGTCTAGAATAGTCCATGGTAAGAGAGGCAGCAAATAAACTTAGTAACAACCATATAGTAAATATGGCTAAAAAAAATTACATAATAATGTTTAAAAAAATTACAATCTTGTGGGGCTACAGGTTGGACATGCCTGTTTTAATGTTTTATCTTGTTGCTTTTATTTGATTGCAAGTAACCTAGATGGGTGAGATCGATGGCATAATCTCCTTTGTTCTCTCCTTCTCTTCCTAGATGAAGGATGTATTTCTGTTTCTCTTCTTTCTTGGAGTGTGGTTGGTAGCCTATGGGGTCACGACTGAGGGTCTCCTCCTCCCCCACGATAGAAGAATCCCTTGGATATTTCGACGTGTTTTCTACCGACCTTTCTTGCAAATTTTCGGACAGATCCCACTCAGTGAAATTGATGGTGTGTATTTTGGGACTGCTTACTAACTTTTCTGATTTTCATTCAGTTTGGCCTGTTGAAACTCAAGAAAGAGTAGTGCAGGTTTATGGATAGAGCACCAAATAGGCCTGCTGAGGATTGTTAAAGAACTCCTTTATTTCTTATTTACTTACAAAGACTCATTTGATTTGATTTCTGTGCTGAATGCAGAAAAAAGATAGTGCTTTCCATCTCTCTTTGACAGTCTGCTCCCTCACCTGCATGGAATGCATGGTTAACTATGGTGATTAAGCTAGTTCTCAAATATATGACACAGGTAGCCTAGAATGGAAAATATAAAAAGCAAGGCAATTACAATATTGAAAGTATTAATTAAAAAAAAGATGGAAACAATAAAGATGGCTTTTGAATGGACTTAAAGAGTTTTTCATATTGTGCATTATGAATATAAGGAATTCATTAACTATGAAACATTGACCAATTATTTAGATCACCTTAGAATGAGATTGGACAAGAGCTATTGGCCATGACAATTTAGAAGTTTCTTTAGAGCTGTAAAGGCCTGTGGCGAAAAAAAGGAAATAATTGGAAATATTTTTATTCCCCCCCTTCATATTTTTACACAAGCTTAGTAGCATATTTCAGAATATCAAATGCTAGCTGGCAAATAAGGAGAGATGCTGTTATCTTTATGAAGGGGTCTGTTTGAGAAACCTATACCTTGTGTAAAGTATTTGGATGGCTATTGATAGGAACGGGATTCTGCATTCAGCAGGCTAATCTGATCCAGTAGATAATTTTTAGGGTTTTACCTTTCATTCCAGAACAGCCTCTTCAAACCAAAACTTTTGGGCCACAACTCCCATCAGTCCCAACCAATATAGCCATGGTCCAGGACTGATGAGAACTGTAAGCCCAATACAATAACATGTAAACCCAAAGAACTGAAGGAAACCAAATCTTGAGAAAAGTAATTACGGTAAACACTAAAATACCTAGGACTAAAACAATTCTATGCAAGAATTCTGTGCACTCTTTCTCCTTCAATCTATGACTTTCATCTCATTTTTTTCCTTTGATATTCTTCCCTAGCTACCCAGATTACAGCCTCAAATTGCACCTATGACCCTTTAGCCATCTTGATTGAGGACGCGAACCCTTGTACCAATACCTATGCTAACTGGCTGGTGCTCATTCTTCTTGTGATCTTCCTGCTGGTAGCCAATATTCTGCTCCTCAACTTGCTGATTGCAATGTTCAGGTATCACTATCTCAATTCTACCAACGCAGGATTAAAAAAAAAACTTACAACAAAGTTCCCTAGTAATAATAATAATAATAATAATAATAATAATAATAATAATAATAATAATAATAATAATAATAATAATAATAATAATAATAA